CCCCCCGAGCTGTTTTCTCCTCCCCGGTATAACGGCAACCGGCAAGAAGGTGTTAAACGAAGCATAAGGCTGCAGGTGAGAGCCCTCCGAAACACCGTCGAGCATCAAAACGGCGGGGAGAGGCTGTTAACGTCGTTACGCTTCGTTTGCCGGTGTGGGGAAGTGATTTGGGGGGGGGGGGGAAAAGGGGCTCCTTCATCAAAGTGCTAACCAGTGTCGAGTTTGGTAACGTTGGCATGCTCTCCTAGCTTCTGCTGGTTTTTAACATTTCTTAAAACTATGAAACAAGGCTTGCAGCAGTGGAAAGTGAAAGTAAGTCACCCAAATCGAAGTTTAACAGATGAATATTGGTCATTTAAAGTCCCTTGATGAAGTTTATTCGGATGTGAGATAGCGGCACGTGAGTAAATGCTCCCAGACCTGAGGCTGAAGCAGCTCGACAGCCTGGATCCTCTCACCCTGCGCCCATTTGGAGCCCTCCATCCTCTTCCCACCTTGAATTCATGCTTCACTTCACTTCTGGTCATGTTCAGGGATGTGAAAGTCCCACCAGGGCGATTTTTAACTTGCTGTTGAAAACACTTCCTTGGTTTTTGTAAAGTAATTACGACTGCAGCAGGATTTTATAAATAATACAGCAGCGATGCCGTTTCTGCGTGTGTTTTACCAAGTTCCTAATACCCCGCACATCGCTTTTTCTGCAGAGATCATTCATAATTCATCTGGACATCGTGTTGAGACAGACCTGTTGACAAGTTGCTCTTTCCAGGTTCCCTCTGTCTCCACTTTCAGTTTGGTGGAGACTTGATGCCCGGCATCTCTTTCATCATGCTTTTCAATGCTTTTTAAGTGTTTTCTCTGTTCTTTGGGCATAAAAATGAGGTGAAAAACTGTGACAGGATTAAAAAACACCTTAAATGTGTGTTGAATCATCCTTTACAAGTGCTTGTTTCTCTCTACTGACAGCTGAGCAAGTCCTGATAACAACTCAGAAGAGTTTAGGCAGCTAAAAGCTATTCCTGAGAAAGATTTTGTTGGCTTCGTGAAGTTAACAAGCTACTTAAAGCTGGGATCTTCCCTTCGGCTTGCAGAACTGTTAATAGATTAAAACCCCCAAGTGCGTTGCAGCTTTAGAGAAGTTTTGGTGTGGATTTTTACCGTTGCACGGTACAAAAATGAATGAATTCTTGCATATTTGGGGTTTTATAAATAGTCCTCAGGTGTAGTCAGTTCAGCCTATAACCAGCTCCTTTATTTTTAAATCTCTGCGTGTTGAGAATTGTATGGTTCCATGTGAGCGGGTTTTTGAGGACAGCGCCCTTTACAGTTGAGGCTTGCATAGGAGCGTGTCATATATAGGTTTAGTTTAAATAGTTTGTGATTCCAGCAGAAGACAAACTCTATTCTCCCCAGATAAAGTCCTTTTTTGAAATCAGCGGGAGAACCTTGGACTTCTGCTCTCAGAAGGAATTGCCTCCTGCACCCCAGCTTTTTTTCTGTGGGTGTTGAAACTTCTCAGTGCTTCACGTAGACTGAACAAAGTAAATCTTTTGACATTGCTCTGTCGTCTCCAGATTCACTTTCTGCTTCTACATGTGTGTGGAGAAAAATGGTTCCCAAGCTTTTCCCCCACCTCAGGGAGCGCCGTCTTGGGAATTAGCTGGGAACCAGGACACGCAGCGCACTCAGCTCAGTAAAATTCACTCCTTGGTCCCTTCCGAGCTGTTTTTTTCCTGCTCTGCCCTTTGTTTTGTGTTTATTTTCCCAAGAGAAGGCAATGATGATTTATTCCGCTGATTTTTTTTTCCTCCTGGGAATGTTCACGGACGTGCTGTGCTGCTGCAGAACTGATGAATACAACCTCTGCTCATTGCTACCAAGTTATTAATACCCGGGTTTCTGATCTAGTGGATTTTTTTAGATAATATTTAGTTTCAAAATTAGATGCTGAACTCTTAATTACCACGTTCTTAAGTTGTACTGAAAGCTTGAGGTCTTTGCTTTGAAAGCTTGAGGTCTTTGCGTAACCCAGACTTCTTTGTTCCTTGAAAAAATATGATAATCTTGGTAATACCTGCATGAACATTACATGCCCTATGTCTCAGCAAGCCGGATGTCAATGTATATGCACGTAACAAAAAAGCGGGGAGCTTTATCCTATAGAATCTGGAGGTACAAAGAGGTGGGACTCTCTTTGGCTGAAAAACGCTGCGTTTCGGGCCAAGCAGCCTCTGTTTTCCTCGAGGGTTTTGTGCTGGGGCCAGGCTATTTTTGCTTCCTGAATTAAGGTACCCAAGGTTTTATCAAAGATGACTTAAAAATCGAAGGAGAGGAGCTCGCTTTTGATCCAATGTCTGCGTGCGGTCGAAAGCGCGAGGGCTGTTGCTATTTTTGGCATCGCTGGGTGAGAAACGGAGCGACCTGCCCGGAGAAAAGCTTCCCTGCGCTGACTTGGCTTTCTCTTCTCGCTTTTCTCCGGCGATGAGCGTGTCCGGAGGCAGGCGTCAAGCTGGGATGATGCCTGTGACATCCGGGGGCTTGGTGTCACTTGACGTCATTTGAAACGATCACATGCGCTCAGCAGTTTGTTTGCAAGAGGTGAGTTAACGGGAGGAAGAAGCGTTAAAATTGAGCTGTGGATTTAAAGTCAGGCTTTGGGGTGGCTGCAGTCGATGGCTCGGAGGTTTGGCCTTAATTTCCCTGGTGTGTCGCGATGTGATCCTTCCCACGAGACCCACCGGCAGCTGGAAAACCTCATCCCGGCACCATCCTGCGTCCGCTGGAAAGCGAAGCTGAACGCCGAATGACTCGACCTAAAAACGCCAATGTTGGGAAAGGAAATTACTCGGTAACAAGGCTCCGATTTGAAAAGGCTTTTACGTGTTGCAGTTCCTGTTTTGCTGGTGCTGCGGTTTCTATAGAAGGGCGAAAATACAGTGGTAACCGTTTCGCCCACCATTTCTTTAGGTTCTGTGTGCTTAAGGTGATTGCCTGTGGAAAAATAAAGTCGTTAAGAGGGAGAGGTGTCCTTGGTGGGTGTTAGACAGGTTTGTTCAGGGAGCTGGGGTGTGCAAGAGAAAATATTTTACAGATTGGAGGCTCTCTCAAAAAGTACATGTTTTGCAAAATTGAGGGTTGTTGCCAAGAAAGAAAAGTTTTTGGAAAATTGGGGGGCTGCCTCCAAAAAATAAAAGCTTTGCAAAATTGGGACAGTCCCCTCCTGCTCCAGAAAGTATAAAAGCTTCGTGAAATTGGGGGCTGCTGGCAAAAATAGAAAAGCTTTGCAAAATCGGCAGCCGCCTCAAAGGAAAAGGAGGTTTTGCAAAATTGGGGGCTGCCTCCAAAAAGTAGAAAAGCTTTGCAAAATTGGGGGCCACTGCCAAAAATAGAAAAGATTTGCAAAATTAGGGGCTACCTCCAAAAAGTAGAAAAGCTTTGCAAAATTGGGGTCTGCCTGCAAAAGTAGAAGAGTTTGGCAAAATTGGAGGCCGCCTCCAAAACTATATAAAAGCTTTGCAAAATCAGGCGCTGCCACTAAAAAAAGAAAAGCTTTGTGAAATTGGGGCCGCCTCCAGAAATAGAGAAGTTTGGCAAAATCAGGAACAACCTCCAAAAAAGACAAGTTTTTGCAGAATCAGGGGCTGTCTCTAAAAAAAGAAATGTTTTGGAAAATAGGGAGTCGATTCCAAAAATAGAGAAGCTTTGCAAAATTGGTGGCCACCTCCAAAAATATAAAAGTTTTGTGAAAGTGGTGTCTTAAGGTGCAGAAAAGCAACCTAAACCTTAAAAGAAGGAAGGAAGGAAGTGTGTGTGTGATTTTTTTGGCTTGTGCAGGCTCTTCCTCAGCCGGCGAACGTTTGGAGGGAGATGAGGTTGCTAAAGGGAAGGGGAAGTCCAGATCCAGGGCAGGAAGGCAAGGCCAGAACAGAAATAGGGAGAGGTTCGGGGTAATACAGTGGCTATCGAAATAATTTGGATCCGTAGGAAGCTGGCCATCAGTAATTCTGCTTGCGGACCAATTTATTTTTCTGATCAGATAATAAAATTGTTTTCCTGCAGAGAAGTGGTAGCCAAGTCTCTGGGAACTGCTTTCAGCAAAACACCCAGCGCATTGCTTTTGATTTCAAGATTTAATTTAGATGCTCTCGAGGTTTCGTTGCAGCACGGACCTTATTTATCTGATGTCCTTTGAGCGGATGAAGGTGTTAGCTGAGCTTGCTGCAGGTCTTTCAGGGATTGCTGTGGTGCTGGGGATGCTGATTCCACCCTGGAAACTTTGGGAAAGGTTTGAAATGGAGAGATGATTTATTTTGATGAGGAAAACAAATCACTGCTGTGAAATAAAACAGCCGGTAAAGCCGCGGCAGGAGCTCCTGTGTGTCGTGGCCCTTTGCATTTTCTTCCACCTGGGCAAGTGCTTCACCCTGCTGCTGTTTTCGGAGAGACCAGATTGAAGCCGCCTCATTAGCATGAATTTTGTAATTAGTGCTGAAAAGTGGAGAGCACTCAATTTATTTAATTGGCTCATAGAATAGCAGTACTTGCCTCGGATCACGTATGAGGATATCCGATATTCCCTAGGAAAAAGGACGCTTCTGCTGGCGTAACACAATCGAAATGTCCGTTCTTGATGCTGCTTCAGTTCTTCAGGTGATTTATCCCGCAAATTTTCTCCTGTATAAACGTAGCTTTGTGCCGTTGTTAACATCAAGCACCTTTTAAAACTGATTTCTCTTTCAAAACCCCCTTTTTTTTTTTTTTTTTTTTTTAATTCTTGGTGTTTCAGAACATCTCGTTGACCTTTAGACTGCTGAAACAATCTGAAATAAAGCATCAGGCAAGCTTCAGGCATGTTTCCCAAACAATAAAATGCAGAAGTGCAGCTGTAATTAAAGACTTTATTGTTTTTAGGGTCAACTAAAGGAAGAAACAAACCCTATGGTAACAGCAGAGGTGATCCTTCTAACAGCTCCGTTCTTTTTCTTGCAGGTTATGGCACCTGGAATACTGGGGCCACCAACACTCAAGGTGAGTTTTGTATATATAAAAACAGATCTGGGGAATTGCAGTTTTAGAATATAACTTACTTTTTCGTCATTCTAGCCAGGATAGTGTAATATAGAAACAGTTTTTTCAGTCTTGTCCTCTACCTGTTTTAGTGACTTTCTACTTGTTTTTCTGTAAAAGCTTCTTCCATGATACACTCAGATTCCCAGCGTCGTATACTGGAGGAACTGGTCACAACCTTGCATATGATTAATAACGTGCTTTGCTTTATCACCTGGGGTTTATTAGCGCTGCAGAACGAAGTGTATCTTGAGGTATTTGGGAGTTTGGGCGCTCTCCAGCCTAAACAACAGCAGAAGCAGCGAGATGCTCCTTAAAGTGATAGTTTTAACAAACATATTTGCTTTTGCCGTGGTTTTACTGCTACTTGAGGGTTTTTATTGAATCACTTGAGTTGTTCTCAAGTGCACATACTTGCAAGTGTTTCAAAAAACATAGTAAAAAGTATATATTATCCATTTCATTTTCATAATTAGCTCTTGGAAGTCCCAGCTTCTTTCTTTCCCGTTCTGTGCAAAAGGATCCATTGTTTTCACCAGCTATTAAAATGAATTATATATATTTAGGCTCTGAACTTTTAACTTTGTTGCTTTTAGAGCTGAAACTCTCTTTTCTTTTTGTCCCATTCAGGTACATACGCGACGAATGCAACGAGTTGGCAAGGTACGTGTTAAAAAACCTCCTTTATCTCCGGGTGTTGGGGTGCCTTCCTCAGTGTCTTGAGCTGGCTGCGGTGAGCGGAGCTGTTTTCCTGCTCATATGCCGTCTCCACGTGGAAGTCAGTGTGAAGTAATGCAGCAATGTACTTTTAAACTGCTCTTCTTCACCAATTAATTTCTTTTATTTTTACCTTGCTCCATGATTGTGGCAGCTGCTTCTGCGAAGGGAGCAGTTCTGTCCTAATGTCTGGCAGCCGTCTGTTCCTTAAAGCAGAAAAATTAGCTCATGGATGGGAAAAGTTCATTTCTTTTACGTCTCCGTTTCTCGTTTGATCTGGGACAGCCAGATGTGTACGTTAATAAATTGATTTTACTGAGATTATATTGTTTTCCCCTCAAAACCCAAGGTTTGCCTATGTAATTCTGGCAGCTTGATGGTACACAAATGCAGTTCTCTGTGCAAGCTGGTGCTTCCTCAATAAAACATGACTTGCTTTCACTAATAACTAATTGCTCTGAGAAGAATAGTTTAATTGGCCTTGATTTGGATCCTTAAGCCGGTCTTAACACATTCCCAAGCAAAAGCCTGAGATTCTTTTAGAAAACATTATTTCTTTGGTCCTCACAATATAAAATTGAATGCTGCATGTCGGGCTGTGGATTTAAACCTCCCAGCTCAAGTCATTGCTGAAAATGAGGGGTTTTTTTCCTTCTATTATTCCTCCTTTTTATAAAGCCTGGGTGCCCCTGTCAAGGACTCGCGCCCTGTTGTGCTGGGTATTGTGCTGATGCAGAGCAGAAAGGCCGTTCCTGCTCCGGAGACCTTATCATCTAATTGCACAACTTGCAGGCACATGGGGGAATACAAAGACACAACGAGGCCATGCCGGTCAGCACAACCGGCAGCGGCATCATCACACCGGTGGCCTTAACAATGTCAATTTTATCGCAAGCATCACGGAAAAGGAGAATTATGAGGGGGTTATTACAGCGGTCGTTTTGGAGAGCCCTAGAACTGGTAAACTGAAGGGTTTAGCAGGTCAGAAGCAGCGAGCGGAAGCTTGCTGCATAGCTCATGGCACATGTCTCTGCCGGAGCGACACCGGATTCGAGCCAGGGCTGTAGAGCTGCGATAAGGATTGTCGGGAGCACGTGCGCATCCCTCGGTCCCCATCTTGGGATAGCACAAAGCATCCAGCTGCAGCGTGTTGGGTTTTCCACAGCGCCATGGTATCTTGCTGTGAGCTGCTCTTTGAATGCAACTGGCAGCTTTGATTTTCTGATTAATTTATTTAGTTGTGGTCCTTTTTTGATGGATATGTGGTGACATGCTTGGCAGCGCATCCGCTTTGAGTTTTTTGGTGTCATTTTGTGGGACCATGCGACGTAGATGGCTCAGGGTCTTGTTCTGAAATTGCAAATACAACCAGCAGCGCTCCGTTTCTGCAGTTAAAATCACCCAAAGGAGGAAGGTCCCTATGCTTTTAGGGTTAAGCAACAAGAATCTTTGATATAACTCACTTTGAGAAACCAGATTTCCTTGAAAGGAGGCAAAACCCAGCTGCAGCCTTGCCCAGTAGGATCCGTTCACATCTAAACTCTTCCTCCAGGTTCCCATGTCTTCATAATATTGTATTAATATCAATTTTATTTTCCTTTCCTGCCAGGCTATGAAGGCTATGACTATTACAACACCCAAACCACTGCCGCCAATACAGCGGCCACATACAACTACGCCGCAGCCGCTGCCACCTCCAGCAGCTGGGAAACACCCAAAACTTCAGATATGAGCATGAACGCCGACGTCAACGCCACCATGCCCGTCGCCTCGTATGGCACCGAGACTTCAGCGAACGAGAATTCGGATTCCATCATAGCCAAAATCAACCAGCGTTTGGATATGCTGTCGAAGGAGGGCAGTGGCGGAACAGGGGAAGGGATGGAAGACCAGGAGAGGTGACTGTTCCACTTCTTATTTATTTTTAATAGCAAAAAAATAACAACTTTTAATCACCGTAACTTCAGATTAAGCTGTTCTGATTGCGTAGGCACAATCCAGCATTTGCTCCTTGGAAAATAAACTTAACGGCTTATTTTTTACCTGCCCTGATACGTGTGTGCGCTCATGCATGTACATATTTTATATATATATCTCTGTCTCTCAAACATATCAAACTTGATGCACACGTCCACCATTAAAAGCAGCTTCCATTGGCAATTCAATTCCTAGATTTTGCATAAGGTTTTTTATTTCTAGTTTTTAGGTTTCTTAAAGTATTTTTTTCCTCTGCGTCCTTTTTTCCTCATAGCTGCCCAGGAATTATTTTTGTTTCTCCCTTCAGGTTAAATTATGCCAGTCTGGAGAATTGTTTCATATTGGTGCGTGTTTTGCTGCTGAAATAATAATACACATCCTGGCGAGAGTTACTGAATAAATGAAGTTTTGCCCTTTTTTTTGCCATTTTGATGCTTGCTGCTGCAGTCAGACAAGATGCTGAGGGGTTTATCTGCATTAATTCACACCTGGAGGCACAGCTAGGAGACAACGTGAAGCAGCTTTTACCTGGGAAAGCTTTTGGCATCTGCTTTTCTGCTGGCAAAACATTATTCAGAGTGGTTTAGTGCTATAAAGTTAGTGAGGTTATGACATCTCCAAAGGATTGCTGTTCAGATACTCTGCAGAAAACCACGGGTCTTTGATACTTAAATTATTTTCCCTGAGAATAAGGAAAAGGTGATGTGGGATACAGAAAGTGATCGCTATGCAGGGTTTAAAAAGATTTTTATTCTGTTTTTCTGGCCAAAAACATTTGGATGCCAACGCCTGTGTGATGTGTGGAAGCATTATTCTAGCTGCTGACTGTTGTCTCCTCCTCCGCAGCTCTTTCAGATTTGAGTCTTTCGAATCGTACGACTCGAGGTCTTCAATGAACGACCGTGACATGTACCGATCCGGCTACGATTATGGAGAAGTTGGAACCGATCGGAATGATTCCTTCGGGAGCCAGTTTGACAACCGCAGGGATCAATCTCGCAACCGAGGAAACAACTACGGCCTCATCCGAGGACGGGGTCAAAACCGTGTTCAAAATCGAGGGCGTCTAAATGCTTTCAACCGCACTGACCACTTCATGCCCTCCTCCAGCTCCGAGCGCCTCTCGGCTCGTTGGAATGAGTTGAACTACATGGGTGGGCGTGGGATGGGAGGTGCCGGATCCAACAGGCTCCCTTCCCTCTTTTCCCAAGCCCTCGTTCCCGATTACGGTGACTATGGAGACTATGGAGATTACGGCGACTACGGCGACTATGGGGATTATGGTGATTATGGCGACTACGGAGATTACGGTGACTACGGAGACTATGACTATGGCATGATGGGGATGTCGGGCATGGGAATGGGACGGTATGGGAATATGCCGTACGGAATGGGGAGGCAACGAAACAGAGACAGGATGGGTACAGTGCCCTGGCACATGAATGCGCTCATGGTAAGTCATTACTGACGTTTTTTTTCTTGTCAAGATTGCTTTTTGCTTGCCTCGGTGGGTAGGCTTCGCTGTTCGGCTGTAGAGCGGAGTCCTTTGGAGAAGCACGAGTCTTAATTCACGTTGCTTCCACCACAGAATAATTTAAATCTTCCTGGATAGAGCGGAATGTCACCAAGCTTGTACATACCCCTTTGCATGTAAAATAGAGCTTCTGAATGCTTACCCCATCCCAAATCCGCGCTCTAGGAATGCTAACCCAGCTATAAAATCCTTTTATAGCCAAAAATAAGTAGGCAGGATCATAAGAATTTAAACTTTTTTAGGAGATGTAGCAGATGGGTGGAATAGTTTGATTTTTAAGCTTTTTTGGTGCCTCAAGTTGATTGACGACGACTGGTTTCTTCCCACTTCAGCCCAAGAGAAGAGGTTTCCGAAACCGTTCAGGAGGGCGATCGGATGGCGAGGGAGGAGGACGCAAACGAAAACAGTCACAAAGTGGAGATGAGCCGGACAGCAAACAGGCGAAGACCGACAGTGAAGGAGACGACACCGAGAACGGTACGAGCTGTCTTCACCCACTAATATTGGCCATTTCCCCCAGTTTTTAAGTGTTTTATCTTCCAGCTGACTGACGGTTGTTACATTTCAAAGCTATTGTATTATATTTTTAAGTCGTTAGCATTGTTGTTGTACTTCTGCAAGTGCACAGGCTTTATGATCTTTGTATTTTGTGGCCTGGGGCAAAATTTAATGCCAGAGTTGAGCGTTGTGTGAAAGTAAGGACCAAGTTTGCAGCAGAGACTGGTGGGCAAGGAGAAACCCGTGAGCTATTTGTGATCTTCACTGGAGTTTTGAGCCGTTATGGCAGAAGTTGGTGATTCATTAGGGGCCCCTTGGAGTGTTAAGTGGGAGAAAAGACCCCCCCCCAACACCAGCTAAATTATTTCTCTTGTGTGCAGCAGATGAGGCCGAAGGAGAGGAAAAATCAGGAGATGAAGCTGACAAAGGTGTAAGTAACTTTGGGTTTTTTATCAGTCTTTGTGGCAAATGTGGGAACATTGAAGCTCTCGAGCAATTTTCTCTGCTCTTTTGACTGCGCTGGGGGTCAGAATATTTAAAATCACCCAGAAACAGCTTTTTGAGCCCATATATTGTGCAAGTATTTGCTCCTTGTAATTTCCCCACGCCCTTCAGCAGGGGTTACTGGCAGATTCGCTTGCACAGAGGTGCCCGAAAAGCACTTGTAGTGGAGAGGTTAGGATCCTGTGCCTTTACTTCTGCTTTTGGCAAGGCTCATTAGGGCTAAATTCCAATTAGTGGTTGGTTTCTTTCCTCATTGGTTGGTTTGCTGGGTTGGATGGGGGTCATTGCCATTTGTCTCGCTTGTGACTGTGTGTAGCCCTCAGTACGGTGTTCCTCGGAGCGGCAACTTGGCTGCCGAGTATTTAAATTTTGATAGCAAGAAGCGATACTTAGCAATGCCATATAACCTGATCTATAGAAAACAACTATTTTGTAAACATTTATAAAAATGGATGTTTAATCCCCAAATGACGCGACCCTTCGCCCGCTCCGTGGTCTGTCTTGGTGGACCGTGAAACTTCCAAATCGCGGTAAATAACACCAGCATCTTTTTGTGTTTCTCTTTTCCAGGAGAATGGGAATTGGGGCGATATGGCAGACGAAGGTAGGGTGTTACCCCCCCTCACACAGTCCTCCCAGACTACTCCTACTCTGAATCCATCTGCTTCGCCTCGGGGTGCTACCGAGAGCTTGGATTTTTTTCGGTCAGAGGCTGATGCAACTCCTGCTGCGACCTGTTAACCAGTCCAAGGCTCCGGCGCTGCCCGTCGTGGCACAGAAGTGCTGCGCTGGTTAGCAGGGGAGTGCCGGAACGGTTTTGTTTTTTCTGGGCTTCTCAGCACGGACGGTTGCCATCTGTAGGAATGGATATTGGCCACAATGTTAGTTTATTTTCCTGTGCTGCTTGGAGGACAGCAGTGAGGACGTGTGCATCTCACAACAGGGCAGAGGAAAAATACCATAAACTAAATAATTTTGAGTGGAGGCTTCAGGCACTGGGCTAAACCTTGTTTTGTTTTAATTTTTTTCCAAATAGATGGGAATATATCGAGGTATGTTAGAGCACTGATTTTAAAAGTGTATGGTCTAAAGTAGCTGGAACCACTTCAGCTGGTTTTGGATTGTAATTTTTGGTAAAGACGCATCAACCCCAAGCACATTGTGCCTTCTGCATTAGAGTGACTTGGGGAAAACCACATGTAGGACTCTTGTTGCCACTTTTAGGTTGTTTCCAGGATTGAAACTGAGGTGTGGCTGGATGTTAAAATTCTTGTTTAAGCCTCCCTCTGATGCTGGGGTCCAGTCTCCGGGCTTCTTTACCTGAAAACATTGCAGGTGAATTATTACCCGAGTCCTGTGAGGCTGATAGACCTCTGACTTGGAGCTTTCTGCCCCAAAACACGAGGCGAGCTGAATCTTTAGTTCTTTTTTGCTTTCTCAATAATTACCAAGGAATGATTGGGAAGGCGACATGAGGAATATAGCCAAAACTGTCCCAATGAAGCAGCACTGCTACTCAAGCACTGCTAGCATCTCTGCTGGTTTTTATTGCTTAACTTTCTGGAGTAGCATTTTCAGCCTTGTGAAAAATAGGGAAAAAAAAATGTGAATTTGGGGAGAAAGTAGTGGCTTCTCCCAAGGAATGGAGATAGAGCGGTGTCTTTGCAGCATCCTAAAAGTCAGGACTCTTTCCACTAATGGCGTGTCCTGTCGCTGCCTATGAAGGCTTGAGTTGCTGTGGAAAGTTCAGGGAGCTGGAGGAGAGGAGGGTTTGGGTTTTACAATAACTCCCGGAGACCTTGGAAAGAGCCTGCTGCTTCCCTGCGGTTGGAAGCCGGCTTGGGAGGGAGAGAGCTTCCAGAGACCAAAAGACGTCTTGACTTCCCAAAGCTGAGAGTGAGGAGGAAACTAAGGGACCCAAAATACCTCAGCCAGCAAAGTGGGTGATTGTGAGCACAGTAATTCTGATTGATTTTTCCCCGCCTTAGCATCTGGAGATGGCTGTGAAGATGATGACGAGGAAGTGAAAAAGAAGAGGGAGAAGCAGCGGAGAAGAGATCGGATGCGTGATCGTGCTATGGACAGGTAAGGAAAGCAATCAGCCAGTCCATTCCCAGCACTTCTGTGAATAATATTGACCAAGGATAATTCCTCTGCACGAATGTGGGAGAAATCTGCTGGGGGATCGTGTTTTGGGGCTCTGCATTCTGATGTCAGCATGTTTTTTTTTCCCTTTTGTGTGTTTTACGACTGTTTTAAGGTAAGGAGAATATTGTGGTGTTCGATACGTACATCAGTGTGTAGAGTTACAAATTCAGAAGGGTGTTTTAAGTGGCTATATATGCATCCTTGCTATTAAAACAATAAGTCATCTCAAGACGGACTGATCAGCAAAGGCAGCACCAGCGTTTCTGTTATTTCAGGGCTTTCCCGCATGGGGGAGAGGATCTTCATATCAAAGAGTGCTGATTCACCTCCTGCCCTATGAATTTCTCTAGTTACTTTGAAACTCGTGCAGGGTTTTAGCAATCGCTCCCGTAGCATTTAGTTTAGTGAAGAAGTAGGGGCTGTTTAATCTGCACAGGTTCTATAGCGATTATAAAAGTCCAAGACAAAGTAAAATTGTGTGGGGTGGCACTTGGAAAAAAACGTGAGAGGTAGCAAACTACAACAGGAGCTGTAATGGTCGTAATTTTCTTGATGTTCTCGTTAAGTTGAGCTCGTTCCTCATTAGTACGATTGCTGTGTTTAGAATCCAGTTTGCCTGTTCCGTCTGCAAGTTCCGCAGTTTTGAGGAAGAGGAGATCCAGAAACACCTCCAGAGCAAGTTTCACAAAGAGACCTTGCGATACATCGGTACCAAACTCCCGGATAAAACGGTCGAGTTTCTGCAGGTAGGTGGGTTGCCCAGCGTTAGCTCTACCATTCCTTGCATCTGTGCTGGGATTTTCAGGCTGAATTTGGGATTTCCAGGCTTACATGGAGAGTGGAAGGGGCTACAGATTCATCCACACACAGCACCCTGCTTGGTCAGCTCGCGTCACCACTTGTTAACGCATCACCCAATGACATCAGTTTGCGTGATGCAGTTTCTCGCAGGTTTCCATGTTGAGAGGGAAAGTTAATTGTCTGTATTTGAATAAGAAGGCCAGAAGTTAACTTTCCAGAGATGGTGTTCACTATCTACACGTCTAGAGCTGAGGAAGGCAAGATAAAGACAGGTGTTTTATTTTCTGCATGACCACTGTTTGCATTTTGGGGGCATTTCTCAAGGATTTGGGGTCTCCCACAAGGAATCTGATGGTGACATGGGAGCAGGCTTCTGTCTGGCTCCGATTTGGATCTTTCCATCTCTTTCTCTGGTAGAAATGACAGGGGATGGGGAGGGGAAAACGCCTGCCTTGTCTAGTTAATTCACCAACTGCCATCTTCCCTGTGGGTTTTCTCTGGAGAGCTCATTTCCCTGTTGAGCCGCTCGATCATTTTGGTGCGTTGTGTGGAGGACAGCGAGTTTTGTCCTCTTCCCTTCTAGGAGTACATTGTCAACAGGAATAAGAAAATCGAGAAGCGGCGCCAGGAGCTGACCGAGAAAGAGGGCACAAAACAGAAGCCGGATCCTTTTAAGGGTAAGTGTCTATTCTGCGTCCAGAGACCAAGTGAGACCAAGAAAAATAAATACTGCTCCCACAGAGATACAGCAGCACAAACATGAAGGATTTGGGTAACTCAGCCTCAGGTTCTGGGTATTTTTTTGCCAACTTTGTGAAATAAATCGTCATGGTGGGGAAGGGGGAGTGCCCATCCTCGCTGCAATTTCTCAAGCAGCAGATCCACAAGGCTCATGCAATGTCAGAGATACTAAAATGAGGTAATTGGGGAAAAAAACCCAGGAATTGTTGATTTTTGTGGCTGTTCAGTTAATGCAGCCAGATCCCCTGTTTGATTTTAATGTTAAGAGAAAGGGGCGAAGTTGATCTGTTGTGGCAACAAGCGTGATTGGGGAAAAATCTGCTCAGCATCATCAACGTGCCTGTCCCTGATACAGTCTGCAGTGCTCATCCACATTTGTACTGGGAGTGATGAGTGGAGTTTAGTTAAGCTGCACGTCAGCTATAACATCTGGCAGGCAGAAAACCTGAGCTTAAGTAGGGAGGAGGAACGAACCCAGAGCTGGGGGAAGCGCGAGTTGTCCCTTCCACCTTTATTTAAATAGATTTTTGGCGAGGCAAGCTGGTTTTGGCTAGGACTGAGGAAAATAGTAAGTCGATGGCTTTGTACCTCAGGCTGTTATCCCCGTCTCTCTTCCTCCTACGCTTGGGTACTGTGTCGGTACGATCTGTTTTGGAGCAGAATAACTCCTCCCCATCTTAGAGCAACGTATGTGATATTTCTTTTTTTTTTTTTTTGTCTCTGAAAGCAGCAACTGGAAGGAATATGCTGAATTAGTGCGTTGGCTGTGACGTGGGGTTGTTAGAGGGGGTGGAAAGGCAACGTTAACCAGCCGAACATCTCATTTGTTTGGGATTTTGGCTGACGTCTTGTCGCCTCTGTAGGTATTGGCCAGGAACACTTCTTCAAGAAGATCGAGGCAGCTCACTGCATGGCATGCGACATGTTAATTCCTGCCCAGAACCACCTCCTCCAGAGGCACCTGCGATCTGCCGATCACAACAGAAACCGCAGGGTAAGCAGCCCTGCTCACTTCCGAACTGGAACGTTTCATCTCTGCTGGGGCGAGGGGACGTCGGTCCGGGCACTTGAGGTTTATTTGTGGCTTCTAAAAACCTGGTACAGTCTCTGATCGCATTGTGAGATGAAGCCACTGACTGGGGAATTATAAAGGGTTGTGGGATGCTTGTGGATGGGCTGTGCAAGGTTTGCTCTTCTGTGAGGAAACGTGAGCGGATGAGAAATGGGGAGGTGAACAGAAAAAGTGATCTTAAAAGGGAGATCTGGCTTTTTCTTCTGCGCTGGGGGTTTAGCAGGGTACATTGTCCAGCCGTACTGTGCAGACGTGCAGGCTAAACACCTCCTCTTTCTAAGATTTGCAGTGCTTGCTATAAAAATTAAAGTTAAAAACTGCCTTTGAGGGTGCTTGGGGAATTCATAAATGAGATGTAATTGATGTCTCATTTGGCACGGACCGGAGAGGGGCTTTGGATATTGCAGATGAAGACGGGGTGAGCTGCAGTCAGTGTCGCACATCCCTCAGGGTGGTCTTCGTCTCCTCTGAGGGTCGGACGTGAACGTCGCTGTCCTGGACTTGATCTCAGGATATCTGGGGGATGTTCCAGCTGCTGGTGCTGAAACGCAGGCGGGTGCTCCTTGCGTCCGCTTTTTTTGTGTTGTTTTCTGGGATTTGCGATCAGGCTTCCCATGCCCTGCAGAGGAGGAGGGAATACAAACTCTTGAGCCGAGCTCCTCGTTGGAACTCTTCCCCCTTTGAAGTGACCCCAATGTTCGGTTCCTTTGCAGATGGCTGCAGAGCAATTCAAAAAGACCAGCTTACACGTCGCCAAGAGCGTCCTGAATAACAAACACATCGTAAAGATGCTGGAAAAATACCTCAAGGTGAGTGAACGAGAGAGTCGGCAACTCGTGCCGAGTTCCTGGAGCAGCACGGAGCCACGTCTCGCTGTGTGCTGCGTGTCGGTGACAGGAGCCTTGCTGCGTACGATGGGGAGAAGCGTAGGTTCCACTCTGTTGCCTTTTTATCTCTAAATCTTGGGTCTGGTTTCTTTTCTCTGTAGGCGGTTTACCACTTCTCGTGGTTTGTTTTTGTTTTTTTCGTTTTGTTTTGGTTTGTTTGTTTTTTTTTTTACTTAACTGTCATTCCCAGGCGCGCGTAGATCAATTTACAAAACCGTCCAAAATGGAAACGTAATTAAAGAAACCAAAAATAGCAAAAAGGAACTCCAGTTCCCCAAAGCCACGCCTCGAGCTGTGGCCTTGGCGGGGGACACCAGGTTTCCCCCAGCGCAGGGAAGCGAGTGTGTGGGTCGGGAAGCCGCTGCTTGAGTCCATTTGGGATTGAATCACGACGTGGATGGCTCCTGGCCCACCCGCTCGCCCTGCACCGGCGGGGGGGAATTTTTACGCCGTCTAAAAGAGCCGGGCTCTGCAGCGCTCCCGGCAGCTCGACCAAATGATGGAGCACCCTGAGGCGGGGAGGTGCATCCGATTCCTGGGAGTTGAAACACCCTCGTTAGCTTCCCCCCTCCTACCCCCCACCCCAGCTTTTTTCCTCCTCTTCCCTTGGGAAGTGGCAGAGAACGCCCCAGCCGATCTTCAGAGCCGAGACGGAGCACGAGGAGAGGTCAGGGTAGGGTTCGTTTAAGCCCAAACCAGCGTTCGGAATTACAGAAAGAAGTCCGGAAGGCAAGCACAGTCTTCAGAGCATGGGGGGGAATCCGCTCCATGCGGGAACGCCGCCGAGCGAGCCAGCCGGGCGGTTATGTCCGGCCTAAAAGTGTCTCGCGGTTATCCGCGGGTCCGGAGGCGGCGTGGGTTTAACGGGCGAGGTCCGCATCCGAAAAAAAGAGAGAGAGATTGAGAGAGGAAAGGTCGCAACCTCCTCCGCCAGGCGAAGATGAAAAAAGAAGCGCTTTTGGCTACTTGCTTGTTTCCTGGGAAATCCGGGAACAGCCCAGGATCCGACAGGAGAGAGCCCCTTGTTTGCAAACCTGGCAGACAAGGGCAGGCAGATGCCCACACACACACCCCCCACCACCAGCACGGGGGAGCAGATGTTTCCCCTGTCCCACCGGCGTCATGGTTTTTATTTTTTGGTCTAAACCTGGACTGAGCTAGCTCTTGTCATGCCCAGTCTCTGCTAAAATCTAGCCCTCCCTCCCCCCCAAAAATAAAAAAAATAAATAAAACCTGCAACTCCACCCTCTGGGTCCAGTGAAAAGAGACTTTGAGCTGAGAGTTTGTCGGCGTAGGATGGCCGTCTCTCGCCTTAAACCGGCCTCTCATACACGTTGAACAGGAGGGTGAGATAAAAACCCTGCGGTACCCCACAGGAGAAAGAGAGCGAGCGAGCCCTCGGGGCAGACGAGGTGCAAACCTCTGGGAATCTCTCAGAGAAATTTAAAAAAAAAATTAAAAAAAAATAAATAAAATAAAATCCCCAAAAGACTGGAACCACTCAAGTGCAACTCCGTCTACCCCTGCCAGGGTCCGCAGGCACGTCCACATCTCCTCATGATCAACGGTATCAAAGGCTGCCGGCAGATCTAAATGAATCAGCACGGGCACCTGACCTTTGTCCATCGGCAGGAGGAGATCTTCGGATCCATCCCAGCACGGTCTCCGTATCATTCCCAGGTGCAAAACCAGACTGAAAAGGGGTGGAGGAAAATCTGAGGATTCCAGGTAATGCCAAGAGCCGCCTCGCCATAAACGTTCTCGGCAAACCTTCCCCCATGAAAGGAAGGCCAGAGACGCAGGGCGATTAATTAATCAAGACTTGGCCGCATCAAGAGATGAGTTCTTGACCATTGGCCTAACGATTCCTCCTCGGAGGGATGGCGGGACGCCTCGCCCTTCCCAAGGGAAACCGTGACAGTCTCCACCACGAGTGGACTTCACATCCCCCGGTAGATTTTTCCCGGCGATAACGGACGTTGGGGTCCAGATCGCGAGGTAGAGCCCGATATATTTTTTTTAATATCTTCTCCCTCCACGACCTCCGGAGGTTGTGATCCTGAGCCAGAGAAGATGAACGTTGAGGTTTCTCCTCCACCTGCATGGATCTTCTCGCATGGAGGCAGCCAACCTGGGCTGAATCTCTGATCGAGGCAGATATTAACCCCGGGGGGGGGCGCGGAAAAAGGAGGAAGGGTCCGGAGAGTTTGGTTTTGGTTTTCTTTTCCCCCCCCGTCCCATCCTGCTTTCCAGAACCTCTTCCCCCCCCGCCGCCGTCGATCAGATTTCAGGCGAAGTTTCTGCCAGTCGTCGGCATGCCGCCCGCCCTCCTTCCCTTCCCCTTTTCGCCGTGGTGACCTGCGAGGGGTTGGGGCGGCTCTCGGGGGGCCCGGAAAAAAGGAAATTTTAGAAACTCGGATTGCAGCACAGGGTGTGTGTGGGGCATCTCCTCTCTGGCAAGGTGGAGGTTGTAGGACAGCGACACCCCTTCTTGGACCCTACAAGTGCTCACCCCGCACCCCCAAACTCTGGAAACGCAAGCAGAGCCCCGCCTCGCTCCCCAAAACCGAGGGGGGGAGCGGTGCTAGGATCCACTGTCGGCCTGAATAAAGGTAACGAGGTCAAAAAACAAACTTAAGAAAAAAAACCACCACACAAAAATCCCCCCCCAAAACTCAAAATCACCCCCCAAAAAACCCACCCCTCCCCAAAATCTGGAGGGTCTTGGTGTCCCCAAGAGACCCCTCACGGTAGGACGTAGCCTGGGTGAGAGCGCGGGCTGCGAGGTCACGACCGCATCGTCTCCCGAAAAGAAACCAAAATAAAGGCGAGATGAAAACCTGGAAGCGTCGCCGCTCTTCCCGGCAAGGGAAGGGGAATCCAGCCGTTGGCGGTTGGAAACCAGGAACGGAGAGTTGTTAGGAATTCCTTTTGGATTTTAAAGCGTCTTGGTTAAACCCAAATTCCTCCTGGGTGAGGAGCGGAGCCGATAAACCCCAGCAACACCGGCACCGTTCTCCCGCACCGGAGCTTTTAGTTTTTTTTTCCAACTCATTCTTTCCACTCCTCCTAGGTGTGGGATCTTTTTTTTTTTTTTTTTTCTCCTGGGGTTCTTCTCTTGCTGCAAATCCTTCAGGATTTTCCACGACGGATTATTATTATTATTTTCTTTTTTCCACTGTATTAAGAATCATCCGTCGCTGAGCTGCTTTTTTTCCCTTGCCAAAAAAACCCCCACCACCTCTCCCGCATTTTCACGGCGGAGATTCCCTTTGCCTCGTTGCAGCTCGATGACTCTTCGTCTCTTTCCCATCTCTTTTTTTCCATAGGGAGAAGATCCCTTTACGGATGAAATCGGGGATCAGGACGTGGATGAAGCTTTGGAAGGCGGAGATGGCACCGGGGAAGGAGCGACCGAAACCACTGCAGTGGAGGTTGCCCAGGAAGGAGGAGGAGGAGGAGAAGGAGGAGGAGGAATCGGGGAAGTTACGGAAGCAGCAGAACCTTCTGAAGAGTTTTCCAAACCTGAGGAATTCCTTAAAAATCTAGGGGAGCAAGATCAGCCCCCCAAACCACTGCTGATGCCCCCGTTCCTGCAAGACGACGAGCTGGAAGCAGAGGAGATGATGTCGGAAGCGACAGCTGCGGTGACTTCGGAAGCGGCGCCGCCATCTTCGGAAGCAATGGAAGAGGTGCCCGCGGTTCCCGAAAATCCGCAAGAATCGGCGGTTTCCCCCCAAAATGAAACTGAGGGTTGGGCAGGCAAAGAGGAGGAAGAGGAGGAAAACGGGAGCGAGGCGGCGGCTGCGGCCGGCTGCAGCGAGGAAGAGGAGGAGGAGGAAGAGGCTCCACCAGCGGCTTCGGAGCCGCAACCGGAATAACTGTGAATATTTGCGTGAAGGTGATGGTATAATCCGTGATTTTTTTTTTTGTTTGATTTCTTGTTCTTTTTCAGCGCAGCACCCGAAGTTGTCCAATTTTGATTTTAATTAAGGGGAGGGAACCCGGCTGCGTTGTTAAGGAGCAGCCGCAGCGCTTCACTCATCTCGTTAAGATTAATTTTGCTTCGTTTCTGCAAATTCCTTTTTTGTTTTAGGACGAAGAGCGCAGGAAGCCGTACCTTCCCTGAGAAACCCTCCGGCTGCGGCTCCGCTTGGGTTTTTTTTTGTTTTGTTTGGGGTTTTTCGTTTTTGTTTTTGTTTTTGGCGGGGGGTGGGGGGTGGAATTTTAGAAAGAAAAAGGTGAAAAAAAGGAAAAAAAAAAACAACCAACCCCCCCAAAAAAGCTGAGGTTTGGAAAAATAATAAAAGCATCGATTCGATCCCAGCGGCTCGTTGGGTTTTAAGTGCAGTGCTAATGCCGGCGGGCCGGAGCCGTCGTCCTTCCCTCCTCCCTCATCCTTCCTAACGCCTAAAATACTCCGGTGAGGGAATTTTTATTTGATTATTTCCCAAAATTTCCCAAAAAGGCAGAATTTTTCCTCTTGGGAAATGCATTCGTTTTCATCTCCCTCCGTTACAGCCGGAGAATTTGGGTTGATCATTAGTTTACGAAGCAGCAGCTCGATTATCTCTAGTAACGGGGCAGTCGGTTGCGCGGGAATTCACTCCAAGTGAAGAAAATTGTTAGCTTTCCCCTAAAAAAACCCTTTTTCCGGCAGAATTTACAGGTTGTGGCCGCACCCTCCGACTCCAAACCTCTTTCCTAAAGGATTCACCAAACCAAAACCAAAAATAAAAAAGAAAGAAAAGTCATGATTGGGTGAGGTGAGGCTGCATGTGGAGTAAATCCTTTTCGGTTTTTTACCCCAAAACCCTTTATTTGTCCCCCCAGAAGTGTTTTTTTTTGCCAAAACCCCCTTATTTGCCCCCCAAATGGTTGGTTTTTGCCAAAAAAAACTTATTTGCCCCCCAAAAGGTTTTTTTTAA